GTGACATGGCTCAAAATCGTTCTCAGTGGCGCAGATGCATCCACTCCTGTGACTTATGATCTCCAATGAAACTGTTTTGTTTTTCTTTATTACTCCTTTGTCTCACACCTCTGCTCACTGTTTCTATTATGCTTTTCTTGTACTTTCTTCTCTTGCTTCGCGTGCTACACGGAATGTGGCGACTTGAACTTCCGCACATTTGTGCAAAGTTCTATGTCGAAAACAGACAGACAGACAGACTAATACAAATCAATCAACTGAATACATACAATAACTTATAAAAATTAATAAACAGTTACTGATCTAAATAAGAAGATAATTGCAGCGAAGAAAATTTTCTTTTCGACGAAGTCATCATCTAGGCTGTACATTCGTGTATTCATATCAAATGGATGGGAAAGTTCCAGAATAATTTCCGGTTAAGGGTCAAATTAATAAAAATTAAAATTGGGAATTAGAATGCCATAATAAACAGGGGGAGCGATAAAGCTCAAACAAAGTAGCATCATAATAACTAAGAAGATTGACTTTGTGCAATTGGGGGTTGGAAATGTAGAAATAAAAAAAATGGACAGGATGTTTGGATAAAAACTAATGTGATGAATAATTGTTTATGCAATCAGGGATTAAATATGTAGAAATAGTAAAATGACAAAATAAACACAAAGTTCGGGTATGAAAATATTGTAGTGTAAACAGGGATTAAGAAAACTTAAAATAACACGAATAAACAGGAAGTTGAGATAAGAAAGGCGATGGGATAGTCATTACTTAAAAAATATTTACCTGTTTATAATGGCCATGGCAGGCACAGGGGTTGGATGTATTTCTTTTGGATACAAAGCGCGGATATGAGCTTTTGTATAGCTAGCGCCTCGGCTATGCTCAGATGCCTTGATTTTACTCCCTTTGACAGGTTTCATTGAATCTTGTACATGATTTCGAAGGATTTTTCTAAAGGCGCTGAATGTCCTGAATTACCAGATGTTCTGTCACCGAACTATTTACCCGTTTTCGTTCTCCTTTTACTAGCCAGGCTGGATAGTGTTCACGAGCGCGTTTTTCAAGTAGACGCATGGTACGGCCAACGTACTCAGCTCCACAAGAGCAGGTAAACTGGTATATGCACGTTGAGGTGGCCTAATGCGACAGCTTGTATTTCGCATTCTGGCTGAACACTTTCTTGCAAGAAAAAGTCAGTCGTAGGCTAGAGGCGAAGTATGTTTTCCTCAGTGATTTTGAGAGGCGTTTGCGAAGGATTTCTGCTTCAATATCACCTTTGAATTCTAGATTGAGCAGAAGCATTTTCTTTGGAACAGATTGAACTTGTTCGGAAGTCTTTTTAGGTCTGAGATTCTTGTCTATGAACCTGGGCGGGAAACCGTTTTCGATCAGGGTTTTTCCAAGATTACACAGTTCTTCTTCAACCACTTCCTTGCTGCATACCTTCCGAATCCTCGAGGAAAGAGCGTATATCAGGTTCCTCTTCTTGATCCTCTTTTGATCTAATATACAACTATACTTGTTCAAGTGTTGGTTTTCAGGGATTTGATTGGTGTCAGCATTTCTGTATGAGCTAACGTCGGTGAGAGGATCACTATTAAACCTAAGAGTGCTCAACACAACTGTTTCTTCTTAGTTCGGGACTCTTCGGCAGTACACACCACCGGGGTATTAACCGCGGCCGGCTGATGTGTCCCAGCTTCTGTCAATCCACGATAAAGCACGACCACTAGCCAATGTCATCGGCTACTACTTTCCTCACTAGAAGTCAAGACCAGGGGGTAATAGCAGGTCTAGTGTGAGGACATTTACTTCCTGATGACATTAGCTAGTGGTTGCGCTACATCGTGGATTGGCGGAAGCTAGAATTCATGGGCCACTGGATCGGGTCCTAGGAGCTTAATGGTCAACGGGCTCATCTTTTAACCGGGATGCTCTGATTTTGACCGCTGATGGGTGGGTGCATACTGTTGAAGATCCTCAAACTAGGATAACAGAAGCAGCTGCCCAGTACTCACAGTTTATATAACACTTGCTTAAACCATGTCATCTCATGAATAAATCCTGAAACTATAAGTTTGTCAAATTTTTATCTCGTCTTTACAGTCATAATTCAGTTTTTTTCCAGACTAGTCAGAAATGAAAAACGGCCATTTTGCGTCTTTCACTTTATTCACTTTTGTCACTTATTTCAGGTAGAAATCAAATAATGCATTCGGTTTCCTTTTCCCAGAAAATGCTGACAATCATTTCTCGTTGCAGGACTCTATTGTCACAAGTAATCTAGGCGTCCAAATGGCCAGTCTAGAAAAGTGAAGTGGACTGATTAAAAAAGCTGATACTTTTTTTTCCACTTCTAAGCAAGTGATGATGGCGAAATATAAATTCAGATTAGATCGCTAGCTGACATTAGTTTGGGGACCATAGGAAAATATTCAGGGAGTAGTGGACATATGTCTTTTCCTAGCTTATGACTTCTCCTCGGCCGTACGCACCTGCCGAGGTTCGAATCCTCGCTGCCTTCCGGTTAACACATGAGCTGATCATGACTTTTCGACAGAACTATAGTGAACTTTGTCCTGTAACCAGTCATTAGATAACATTGACCCTGATGGATTTGTACCCCAGAGGAATTTCAAGCTAGCATGAAACAGCTGTTAAGTATTTACAGGTTTTTTCGAATAGTTCTTCAACTGATGCCAGCACGTGAATAAACTTGAGACAAATCAAATCCCTAGTAATGGGGGAGGAAGTCCTTGTATGACTTCGTAAATGTACTCATAATGTTATTTAGTTTCTTGAGGTAGAATGAAGTTTATAACGCCCTTTTAGGTAAGCAGTTCTAACTCAATGTAAGGACAATGGACTCAAATCGTTCCACTGAAGTTTAACAATCAGGAGGTTGTATCACACAGCGAAGTATGTTCCTGAAAGCTTAACGGTAGAATGCTTGTCAATTACGCCAAAGTGTCTGAGGTTCAATTCCAGGACAAAACACGCCACTTGAATTCTCTAACCCGGTGGTAAACCTGGGAAAGGAGGGAAGATGGAGCGCGAGGTTGGGTATTCTACCCCTTTGAAAGGAAATAAAACAAGCGCTACTGAGACTTCAAAACCTGAAGTATATATTTTAGCCATATAAAAAACATCATACTGATATTTGCTACCACTTAGAGTATGTCTCGAATTATTTCCAGTCTTCCTTAACATCTATTAGTCATCCCACTGATTTCACGTTGATATTTTCCTACGGAAACGGACTATTCGGTAGTATAGGTGATTTATACTTCTCTGGGTATTACTGATAAGCGAATAATAATCAGAGAGTTTGGTGGATGGTGAAAAGCAGTGGAATTTATCACGATGTACATTTCATTCTATTAGGGACTCGTCAGCTAGAAATACCTGCGTTCCCCAGGTAGTGATCTCTTCCTATTTTGGGATCCATCATCTCCACCTGAATAGTATTGTTTCTAATGAGACTGCGACTGGCTACCAATCAATCGACAACATTCATTCAGACATTTAGAAGGAAAAAAAAGCTGAGCAAAGACTATCCTTTTGGCGAATTTCACTTTCTGGCTCTACAATTATATGTTTGTTTATATACATAGAACATTATAGATTAGTAGTCAATAACAATTTACTGTTTTTTAAATAATATCGATTTATAAAGTAAAATCACGATGGAATTACCACAGTTCATTAAAGATGCTTAGATTATAATAATGAAGATATAGTAGCGAATAGAATATCGACTTAAATTAAGAAAATTCCCACAACAAATTGAAGATCATTAAAACCTTGATGGCCAAGGAAAGGAGAGTGTCTGAACCAACTTCTTTTTCTGAATGCACAAGTTGGGTTTCTCAATGTGGATCTCAACATCCTCATCAGTATGTACTAGACGAATAAGATATACGGTAGATGACTTTGAAGGCCTTGTTTACATCAGTTTTGTACTCTGTACCCACGAGATGAAATAGATTAAAGCTATGAATGAAGTTAGTTTGTCCTTTACTTAACCACTTTGCAGGATGGTGTTCGGAAATCCGACAAGAAACACGCCTAATTGTATAACCTATGTAACTGGCTCCATTATAGCAGTTAAACTGGCAGATACACATAGAAGAGGCGAAATTAGGCAGTTTATCCCTAACCCTCGAACGCAAAGTAGGATTGGTTTTGAAGACAGAGTAATTCAACAGCAGGAGATGCTCTTCCTTTCTAGTTAGTATCCTTAAAGAACTGAATTTGTAAGAAAAAGGCCTTCCTTTTTCGTAACTGTTGGTACTTTTGGCTGTTTTGATTTTAGATTCTTATTCTTATCAATAAACTTCTCTGGATAACGATTTTTAGTCAGCGACCATTTAATATTATTGAGTTCCTGATCAAGACTTTCATCCGAGCAGAATGTTCTTGCTCTGTGAATCAAGTACTTTATCAGATTGCGTTTGCATTTTAAGTGTACGAAGCTGGAAAAAACTGATGTAGGCTTTTTATATGCGCTTCTTCTTATTGTAGCACCCTCTTTTCTGGTCACAATGTCGTCTAGCAATGAAATAATAGAGACTTTTTTTCTCAAGATGAACATCGTTAATTCATCCTCGTCTAATCGTTTCGAATTGTACTAGATCATTGACACCCACTGCACAAAAAATGGTTCTTGTCACCAAAGTAGTGTAGTGTGTGTGTGTGACACTTAGACGTTCGAACCGATAGGTACTGGGTTCGAGTCCCAGTGGGAACACCATCATCTGCGTAATATTACAGGTACACAGAGCTGACGAACCCCAAATAGAAAGAAATACACATCTTGATGGACTACACGTCTAGTCATCATTTCGTAGACTGCTTCAAGTTAATCGTTACAGCGTCTGCACTACAAGCCAACATGTCAAGACAAGCCAAAATTGTATTCATGTTCATTTCAAAAGTAACAAGACAAACGATTAAGAAAAAGGGACAAATAAACACACGACTGTACTATTACTCACCCCAACCAATTGTACTATAACATGAAAATCGGAATCGCCTTACAATAAATGTTAAAAATAATATATTCAGTAGATGAACGCCTTCAATAAGCATCCAACTATAAACAGCAATCATTCCAAAGGCTAAAATACATATGAGTATATTACTGATAGCCAGAGAATTCCACTGAAATACACAAAGAAGACGAAACGAGAACAGGTGAATCAAAAATGAATGTTTTATAAAAATAATATCTTTCAATGCAAGAAAATAATATTTCATTAATTCATTTCCATTCATGAGTTTAAATAAAGCAAAAACAGAGACATTTGTACAGAATATGATGAGACCATCGTCGTTTGTTCCATTTGTTTCTCTTAAACACCGTACAATCTAAAAGTTAATTGTGTATATATGTATACAAAAACATTTTAACATGCCTACGTCTCACCTGACCGCTTCACACTGTTTTTACGATGTCTTTACTCAACCCCTCATCGGCGTTTCCAGCATGGCTGCCTTCGCCGTCGGATCATTGACACCGACCAACCAACCTAAGCAACGGACTTAAAGTCCCGAAAGAACCTCATTATGTCTCTATAATACTCGAAATCAGCCGTCCATGGAATCTTCATATTCTGGAGGTGGTGAAACCAGTGGCAATGGTGGACAACGAGGGACTTGGTGAAGAAATTCAATATCACCATTATAGAGGAAGTATGTACAGCTTGTCTTCAACGTTTAATTTGCACAATTCATCTGTGTTGTGCTAATTCTACCGTCTATCTTCATGCTAGCTGATGTTGTTTTGCTGCAGATGAACGCCTGTTAACATACTACTGACAGATCGTATCTGTAGCACACAGGACAAATGTAGAGAGAAATCTTTTTTAACCTACTCGTTGCAAGGGTTACAAGATTTTGGGTTAATTGGGAAACAACATTAACAAAAAAAAACAATTCTCAGAAGTTTTACTTGTGTAAATTATGCGGATAGGTCATAGTTTAAACAAAATATATGCACACAAAATTAATGAAACAAAACCCGTGGACCAGCGAAGAGTATCTTTTCGGCAAATTCATTATCTTAGCTGTACAATCAAAAATATATATGTATGTTAATAAGTGTGGTAAGCCTCGAAAAAGGTTCATTAAAGTCGAACATTGACAATTTACAACTGTACAAAAGATACGTAGACGACATATACATTATTTGTGGCAACAACAACAACAATGACCCCAATCTACTGCTGAAGACATTTAACTATTGCCATCCAAAAATAAAATTCACTCTTGAAATGGAAAACGAGACAAAAAATCCGTTTCTTCATATGGGACTAACAAGAAAAACTGATGGGAGTCAAAGAAGATCGATCCCTAGAAAATCTACGTGGAATAGTCAGCTGACAAGCTTATATAACTAGCTGGGTACCCATTCAACAAAAGCGGAATTCAATTAAATAACTTTCCATCTGCATCCGACGCATCTGTAGTTCCGACGTTCTGGAAACAGAATTAGATATTCTGAGAGAAATCTTCATCCAAAATAGATACCCAATAAGATTCATCGACAAAAATATCAAACCAAGAATTTGGAGAAATGAAGCTTCACTTGCACCTAAAAAGAAACCCTACAGGAACTTGGATTTCAAGGGAGATTTAACAAACGATGTTCCCAAGAGAAGGAGCACATCATCTCTGAGAAGAACATTCTTTCCAGCGACACTAAGAATAGTGTTCTTCAGTAGCCCACTGATCTGCAAAAGCGTCAAGGACAAGATCCCGCATCTGACCACTTCTATGTGCATATATCAGTTCACCGGCTGCTGTAGAGTCAGATACATCGGTCGTTCGAAGCGCACCCTGTCCAAGAGGATTCAAGAACACTATCCAACCAGCATAGTTGCGAAAAGGCAATAGTGGTGCGATGACAAGGAGTGCGATAATTGAACACTTGGTTAACACTGATCATTCCATTTCAACAAACGCCTCCTGCTTCGAAGTAATCTACAGAGTCAAGAATAACCTATCAAAGGCAATACGGTTTCGTCTTCTTTGTATCACTGAAGCTCTGGCCATTCACATAGAAAAACCGGAGCTGTGCATACAAAAGAGGATTTCTCCACCACTTCTACTGTCATGGTAACAATCTTTTTTATTTTGATGACTTAATTTTGTTTGTTCGCCTGTTCTTTAATTGCCTGAAATTCTTTACAATTCTTGTCTTCACTTGGAAGTCTTACATAATTTCGTATTATCTTCTTTGTTCGTATGTGCATCCTGCGTAAACCTCACTCATCAAACTATTCATATTATTACGTAACTTCTTTTAACAACTATTTGTGACAACTCATCACCTGTGTTACTACCCTGATTTCATTAACAGCTAATTTTCTTGACTGATTTTGTATTTTTTCCTTCACTTTCCCCAAGGGAACATAGGGCTTCAAGGTAGTGGCTTGAAGTTTCTGTCGTAGTGTTTATTTTACATGCCCAACCTTTCCTCTTTATCAGCATTATTTCTGGCTAAGTGAGGTAAAGAAGTATGTTTGGCGGAGATCGAACCCCGGACCATGTGCATGATTGGCAAGCGTCCTAACCGCTATGCCTCTGACGCACCTGGTTAAAATAAACATAACCAATTGCATTTTTATTTGACAAACTTAATGTATACATATATACATATATATTTTCGACTGTACAGCTAAGAAAATGAATTCGCCGGCGAAAAGAGACTCTTCCCTGAACTACGTGTTTTGTTTTAATTAATGCCTGAATAGGGATTATCCATGAGCAGAATTTTGCAGTCAGATACATGGAAAATTAAATTCCACATTCGAGAAAAGAGGTTAGACGTTTAATGATAAGCATCTGATCAGTTAGTTGCGTAACACTGTGGTGAGTTTAAGTTAAGACGTGAAAACGGAACAAAGAAGGGAAACCATCTAAATCAAGTTAGGGCAACAGTGCGGGAGGCCTAAAGACAAAATTGATCATGTAATCAAATGAGAAGAATCGATGGGACGCTGAGTTATCAGAGCAGAAAAAGACCGACAAGTGAATCTTTCTGAACATATAAATCAGATTTAAAAAGGTTGGATAGCGATTGTTTCAGAAAATTTGCGGAGAGTTTACTTGTATCTTATCTGTTAATAATCTTGTATGATTTCACCTCAGAGCCTGGTTCAACGACGGGTCTGTCCATAGCACTATCCATAGCATAAGTTCCCTTTAGACGTAAATGTTTTTAGTACTTTTTAAGGGAATCTACTTCTGTTCTTCTAATGTAACTGTCACTTCAGATAAATATAAACTTGTCTTCACAATTAAAGTCGTTGGCTCGTTTGTTCATGAGACATTAGTCGAAAATCATCCCACTTTTTGCCCTTAGCATATTTCCGACGGTGTAATATTGTGGTGAGAGCTGGCTGTTGGTCAAAATTGGTGGACAGTGATTTACGTCAGTGTTGATGTTCTCAGTATTGGTCATGAGAAAAATGAGAACAAAGGCTTTATATAGGCGGGTACAGTTAGCATGTAGATGATCTGACATTCAAGAAACAGCCACAAAGAGATGCAAGGTTAACTTTCTATGAGAAACAACCAATCAGATGACTGTGTTTTTCTTCTAACATTAATCTATAATACGTACAAAAAAATCTATAAATATGTGTTGGTTTCCTTAATAAACGATCTGTTTCCTGGCCCTTGTCTTCTGTTGTTACAGTATCACCGTGCTTGTTGCCATTAATCATCTCACTGTATAAAGACACGAAATTAATCTGCATTACTAAATTAAAGTGCACAGCGCTTGATGGTCGTCCTGAATGTTTTTCTAACAGCTGTCTTCCCATTCACACATTCATGCCAAATGTGTTATAGTTAAATTTTTGTATTTTAGTAGCTGTAAGGACATAAATTCTTATGAAACTTCTTCTGGTTTTATACAAAGGCATACAAGGAAAGTAATAAAGAGGATGTTCACTATCTGACAAGAAGACTCTACCAAACTGCTTGCAAGAATTAAACTACCTGTCAGCAACAACAATGACAGTTAGTTGGAACAAAGGCACACCTTTAACTCTACCTAAGGCCTATTGATTCGGTGGTATTAGATTGTTGGAGGCTATCGGCATCATGCTTTCGATCTAAGTGTTGTGCTAGTTGGAACTCACCAGTCAGCAGGGAGTATCTGAAGCCCCCTTAGGAACTAATGTCCTTTCTGAGATTCGAACCCACGTCACCCAGTGCTGCCTGCAGTAACTGGCACAAAGTATCCAATACATACCTACAGGAGGTCAGTCACGAGCCCGAATAGCTCAGTGACAAAGTCTGTGACTATAGGTATCACTAGGTGATGAGGGTTTGAATCCTAGATAGGCCTCGCTGACTAGTGAGTGTCAAATAGCACGAAATCTAGGTCATGGAAAGCGTCCTGCCTATTGCCTCCAACAATCTTGTATCATCAAGTCAATGTGCACCGTGATGGTGAGGTACCTAGTGGCATGGTGGCCACATTACAAACCTAACCTGACTGATAGAATTCAGTCTACACCAAACAGAGGACTAGACAAGCCATACTAATTGCTAGTGTCCAATCAAACTACCTAGAGCCTTCAATATTGTAAGAAATATAGGACATCGTTTTTTTTTAGTATAAGAAGAAAGAACAGAGGGGGCAGTAAAGAAGGATAATTAGGAGGATACATGAAAAGATTAACTAGGAGAGAGGTTCAATTATGTCAGAAAGTCATGATTTTCTTAAGAAATAAATTAAAGCAAAAAGATTTTCTGAGAAATCGACAAGATATAGGATGACAAGCAGAGATTAGAAGAGAAAATGATACCAGGACAGAAGATATTCAATTTAATTTCGACAGCAGTACCACTGGTATTACCAGAATCATGGCAATTGATTGGATTAGTTCACACGCACAGTCTTATTTCTGCCTGAAACTAAAATTAACAGTCTGATACATAAAGGAGTTCAGTTTCAGATCAACATTTGAACAAGATCATTTTATCTGAGTTAAAAAAAAAAACATGCTTACAGTGTCAAAAAAAGTTATGTGATAAATATAAGAGGTGGATAAGATAATGACTAACTAATAAGTTGAGTAAAAATGGGGTGAGTTCCACTGAGATCATAGAAACAAAAGAAAAGTGAAATTACAATATTGCAAAGT